TTTGAGAGAAAAGAAGGCGGCGTCGGAGTTGCGTCGCGTGATAAATCATCCGCTGAATCAACTGCCTTGCCCTTTCCTTTGACATCGCGGGCAGGGCTGTGGCCAACCCCTCCGCTTTTAGAAGACGATCTTGACGCATCCACATCCATGCCGCCGCGGCTGCTTGAAGGCAGCGTGGGGACTGATCCAGGTGTGCCAAATATGCTGCCACCAGCGCCCGCAAAAGCGCCTTCCGGCTTCGGCAGACGGTCCGCGTCGACCATTTCCTGATCATCGTCCTCTGAGATGCCACGCTTCTTACAGGTGTGGCCGTCTTCAGACACGACCACATGGTGGTGTGAGCTGACGGAAGAGCTCATGCTATTGGCATTCTCGTTCATCCTGTCTTCCCAAGCGCGGATTTCAGGATACAGCGCCTGCCAGCCTTCCATGTGGTATAATTTCTCCCAAAGCTTCCGGTCCAGTGCCAGGCTGTACCACTCGCGGCACGATTGGGCAACGCCAAGCAGAGAGACGGGGTCGAGATATCCGAGGATCTTAAGGCACACCTCGGGCGGGAGGTACTGGATAAAGTTGATGTAGAGGCGGGGATGTAGCCGTTCGGCGATCTGGGCCACGACAGAGGTCGGCAGGTGGTCGAGCAGAGCCATGGCTAGCTGCGTCTTGGCCGACACGGGCAAGTAGGGGAGGTTCCTCTCGAGCCATGCCGGAAGATCGGAGGGCACGACGAGATCATGGCCAGGACGGGAGGCGTGGGCCTCGTCGTGACGTGTGGATGTGGCACTCGAGCCAGTTGATGTTGGGTTGAGGGGATCTTCCGAGTAGCCTTCGTCGGGCTGTGAAGGGAACTGCATGGCGTCAAGTCCCCCGAAGCGCTACCGCACGGTGAAGCCAAAGAGGTCACGTAGTTGGGCGTCCTTGCAACGAGGCCATGCGGCCTTGGGAGTTGGGCAGAGTTGGTTCTGTGTTGATAGGATAGCGTATGTTCGTAAATTGTAAATCGCAGAAGAGCTGGAATGGACGCGGGGATATCGACCTGGCTATAGGCTCGAACAGGTGTGCGAGGGACGGCTTGGGACACGTTGACAGTCAGTTGGCTTGTGGCAAATGGTTTGTCGGAAAGGATGATTGAGTATGCTCGGGAGGATGACTGAAGCTTCGCACTATAGCACAGGATGTTGTTGAGGATGAGTCGTGCGGTGTAGGAGTGGACGTGGTGGTACTCTGTTGATTTCAGCTTGCCTCATCGACCAGTCAGCCTGCCCTGCTTGTCGCCTTCTCTGCTGACAGTTGTTGGTTGGTAAGGTACTTTGTAGCCTGACAAGGAACCCACACCCGCCCGTCGTCTTGCCTGGCACAGACCATGCCGACGGGACGCGCCCCAGCCGGCAGATGGTTCCAATCGTGGGCCATGATGGCACTCGGGAGTGGGGACGCGGGTAAGGTTTACTACAAAAGCACAATCTACGCCGAAGCCTGAAAAAACAGCTCTCTCTGTCTTGCCTGTCAGGTGTAGAGTTACAGATCCGTCCCTAACATTGTGCCGTACGGATGGTTTTAGCATTTGTAACAAGCGCCATGCCCGGGTGTTTATTCCAGTGCTGGTTCCGGCGATGCGAAGATCATTCCTCGTTGTTCCAACATGAGCAGTCTGAAACCGCCTTCACCTAGACTCCCTTCGCCCCC